GGCAGAGAGCTGGGGTGCCCAGGGGGATGAGGCGTCTGGCAGAGAGCTGGGGTGCTCAGTGGGATGCGGCGTCTGGCAGAGAGCCGGGGTGCCCAGGGGGATGAGGTGTCCAGCAGAGAGCCAGGGTACCCAGGAGGATGAGATGTCCAGCAGAGAGCCAGGGTGCCCAGGGGGATGAGCCGTCTGGCAGAGAGCTGGGGTGCCTGGGCAGGGAGGCATTAGGGCAAAGAGCCGGGGTGCCCAGGTCGGGGGGAGCGAGGCATCAGGTAGAGTGTGGTGCCGGCCAGTGAGGTGTCCTGGGCAGGGACAGCAGGAGGGCGGTCATCTCACGGGCTGGGAAACTTGAGGCGAGGTGGAAGGAACTTGTCCGCCAGCATTGGGAAGCCTTGACTGGGTGTGGGAGAGGAAGTAGAGCTCCTGTTTGCTTTTTCAGAAGCTCAGCTCTCCCTGCTCCATCTGCCCTGCAAGTGTCCTCTCCCCAGATGCCTCCACCTCCTTACTGGTCGCGTCTTCCCGCCACTTGCCCCAGTCACGTCTTGGCTCAGGGTGGGGTCCTCTGAGGCAGGGCCCTGGCCCAGCTCTGGGTGGTGCCTGCTGCTCTGCTGTGCTCTGGGGCACACAGGGGTGACCTTCCCAGAGGCTCCATCGTCCTGTGTGTGAGACGGGCTGCTTTTTCTGTCTTGTCGCTGCCCCTCACCAGGAGCCACCAGGTGAGGGACCAGGTGCTTGGCAAGTGCCCACGGTGGATGAGCTGGACACTCCTCCACAAGCTCTCGCCTTCCCTGCTTTCTGTGGCTTCTGGGCAGCCAGTGCACACTCAGTGTCGGGACTGGCAACAGAGAAGGGTGAGGGCAAGCCTGGGGGGAGGCGGCCTCCTCCTTCCTGGGACAGACACATGGACCCTCAGCAGGTGCCGCCGTCATCAGGCACTACCTGGCTGCTCCGGGAGAACCATTAAATTGAAAAAAATATAACTTTCTTTTTCCAGTGAAAAATCCAGTACTTTGGAACAGCTGAACATTTCAGAAGATGGCACATCTGAGCTCCCAACACAGGCACCTGGCCACTGTGGCCACGCTGGAGAGAGCTTTGGTGCAGGCTGCATGCAGAGCATGTGGGAAGTCCTGCAGCTGAGGGAAGAGACCATAAACAGGGCCCAGGGGCAGGGACGGGCACTGCTCACCTGGGCATGGAAACCTGCAGGGCCCCAGAAATGGATGGGACTGCAGCAGGGTGGGGACTGGGGCAGCCGGGAAAGTAGGGGCTGTGTGAGAGGGCAGGGGAAGGGACAGAGCCCATCAGACTCCCAGGCTCTACCTGCCAACGCAGCAAAGGGGAGGGGCTTGGGACCCTCATCACCTTATTCTCACTTCAAAATCCTACAAACAGACCTCAGTACCCTCGACTTATCGGCCCCAAGTTTCTCCAGCCCAGACACGGTCACTGTAACTCTTTGGGGTGCGCGTCCAAGGAACCACCAGAGCCCCGGACCTGAGGCTTGACCCTGCTCCAGGCCGGCCTCCGTCTGAGTGTGAAGTCGCACACACTGTCGTGCAGCCTGTCTCGAGCCTCCTTCACAAGGACAGAGGCAAACACAACTCCTCCAGAAACCTCCCACCTGAGCACAGCAGCAGAACGGCCAGCACCGCCCCCCTCTGCTGCTCTCTCCCTCCCGTTTCCCTGAGCAGAAGCTTTAATACCAACTTTCAGGAAGGCCTGGGAACACCCAGAGCTGGGGGGCAGAGCTCTGTGTCAGCCGCCCGGATCCTTCCGGTGCCAGAGCCTCTCCTGGGCCTCCGCCTCACATCGGAGCCCTGGGCCCGGTGAGTCATCAGACACCGAAACACACAAGCCCTGTTTTAGGTCTGAAGCCGTCACAGCCTAGTTCTGCCCAGTGACTGTCCATCCCTCAAAAACAAGTTGTTGGAGACCCAAGTGATCATGTCACAGAAACTCTGAGCATTTCTAGGCAATGAGAAAGCCAGTTTGCTAAATCCCGCTACTCACCTCGTGAATCAGACACTTGTCTATGAGCTGTAAGTAGGAACTTATATTTTCCTCATCAGGCCTGGACACCAAGAGCTGTGTGCACACTGCAGATGGAAAGACACAGATGGGTTAGCAGGGCGTGCTCTGACACCTGCCTGCTCTGCCTCACGACTGACACCCTGACAGGGGAGACCTGCCACCATCAGGTCTGCAGAAGAGGCCTGGAGGCCGCCTTTCCGCTGAAGGCACAGGGCTGGCCCTGCCCGGAGCAAACTCCAGGCTGACTGGGGCAGAGGCCCCGGCTCTTGTGCTCACAGGCACAGGCTGGTCCTGGGGGAGGCGTGTGTGCGTGCTTGAGTGGGACGTGCCATGAGCTCAGAGCCATGCATGCGTGGCTCATGGCTCGCCTGCACCCACAGCAAGTGCCCGAAAGGATGTCAGTGAGGCCCGTGTGTACTCAGGGGCCTGATCGTGACAATGACATTTTTGAACAGATATCCTGAGATTAACAGCAACCACCCCTGGGGAAGGAGATAGCAGGGCTTGAGGGGAGGGGAGGTTTGTTTTTCATTTTCCACCATTTTGTTTAATTTAAATTGTGTATATGGAGCAGGAATTGGGTTTATAATTTTTCAAGGGGTTAATATAAAGTAGGGCCAGAGGTGTGTGAGTCTCCCCGGGCACGGCAGGGCTGCAGCCTCACCCCGGGGACATCTGTTCTGACCTGTCACAGTGAAGGGGTGGGCAGGGAGGTGGGGAGGTGGGTGAGGGAGAACAGACCCCCCACACCGCCACAGAGCTGCACGGGAAGTCAAGCATCAGCTCTTCAACTGGATTTCTCTGCGTTTGAGGTTTTTGTGGCATCTACATCAGGGTTATTCTTACTCAACCAGGAGGCTCAGGTGGCCATTCCCACTGGTGGAAACTTGGTTTCTTAAAATGGTCTGAGATACTGGAGATAAAGGAGAGAAAACTGTCTTCCCTCCCATAGGAGAGGTGCCGACATTTGCCCCACGCTTTCAATAATCGAGGTTTGCTGTGACACCTCTCAACAATCACAGATTATCCTAACAGTGCACGTTTGAGGGTGCAGGCATCAGAGTCAGGCCCAGGGAAGGCACAGGGTAGCCTGGGGTGATACTCTCACTGGAAGGGCCACTCCACAAACCCTGCCCTGCCCTGCACAGGTGCACACAGCATGGCCATGGACTCCCTGACGGTCCTCAGAGAGGCCTGGCTTGGGATGCTGCTGTCAGTCCTCAGACTAGTCACCAAACACTCGACAGGCCTCTACCATGCACTGCGTGACAGGTGGGGTATTCAGGGTGCTGCAGAGTGATGGAGATACAGTCATTATGGACTGTGACAATCCAGCGTGAACTTAGCCAGGACAAGGAAAGCAGAGGGGCAGTGAGGCACGTGAGGGGGTGGATCAGGCAGCCTTCCTGGTGCACATGAGGACTCAGTTGAGACTTGGGAGCATGACGGGGCATGGCACATGTGAAGAGAATGGGGTGAGGGAAAGAGTGTGCCAGGCAAGGCTGCCACATACGACGCACAGGCTGTGTATTGCACAAGTCCGGTCCAGGGTGAGCAGCTGCTGGGCCACATCCACCCAGGAGGGTGCCACATACAGACGCGCAGGCTGTGCACTGCACAAGTCCACACCAGGGCGAGCAGCTGCTGGGCCACGTCTGTACCAGGGTGAGCAGCTGCCACATACAGATGCACAGGCTGTGCACTGCACAAGTCCACACCAGGGCGAGCAGCTGCCACACACAGATGCACAGGCTGTGCACTGCACAAGTCCACACCAGGGTGAGCAGCTGCTGGGCCACATCTGCACCAGGGTGAGCAGCTGCCACACACAGACGCACAGGCTGTGCACTGCACAAGTCCACACCAGGGTGAGCAGCTACTGGGCCACGTCTGCACCAGGGTGAGCAGCTGCCACATACAGACAGACGCGCAGGCTGTGCACTGCACACATGCACACCTGCTGGGCTACATCCACCCGTGAGGGTGCCATTTGTAATTCACAGGTAGGCTTTATACAAACTAGTAAGTGCTAGGCAGAGAGGGAGTGTGTGCAAAAGCTCAAAGGTCTGTCTGGATAGAACGGGTAGAGGCAGCAAGGGGAGGCCAGATGACAAGTGACTCTTTAGGTTTGGGTATTAACACCTAAGAGCAAATGGGACACCATCCTGTGGCACTTGACCTATTCTGTCAAGAGCTTTTAAGAAGGCACAGTGGTAACTGTGCAGATGCTAGAAAGGCCACAGGTTCAAATCCCAGCTGCCCCGTCAACTGTGAAAACTTAGATGGACTAATTAGCCTGTGGGCCTCTGTTTTCCCCCAGTAAAATGGGACAGTTTGGGGAGTAAGCTGCATAGGTGATGTACAGAGCGGGGCCTGGCGCTCAGTCCTTGCTCTTAATGATCGTGTTCACTCAGAGTGAGGACCAGCCCTGAAGGGAGAAGATGCATGCCCCTAGGACACCTGCAAACTTCAGCTCTGTGCCAAGAGTTCTCCATATCACCACCACATCTGAACACGTTCTCAGTGGGGAGGCATGAGGCCCCGGCAGGCCTGGCATCCTCGTGCACAGAGAGATGGGTGGGATGTGGCTGAAGGGATCTGAGCTAGCCTGTCTGTCACTCCTTTCCTGCCACTCGTTTTTGCTTCAGGGAGCAATTCAGCCACTGAGCCATTTGTTCCTGAAACCATTTTCTCCCACCTTCCTCCCCAGGCTCAGATTAGCAGATTCAGGGAAAAGAAAAGAGGTTACAGGGGTGAATCAGGCTCTACCTTTCCCCATGACGCGTGTGAACTGCCCAGGGAGGTCCCCCTCGGGCAGCGGGGTGACTGCCAGCTCCCCATCACAGCTGCTCAGCTGGTGTGGCTGCAGCCCGCCGCTGGCCCCAGCTGTGGGGGTGGCTGTGGCACCAGTGGCGGTAGCAGCAGCGTCCTTGCAGTCGGGGCTCTGGGTCTCCGGGCCCAGCAGCGAGGGCTGATGTGGGGCCTGGGGCTCCCGGTGGCGGGCCTCAGGGGTGGCAGTCGGGGAGCTGTAGGCCTTGATGGGGGTCAGGATCATCTGGTGCAGCTCCTGGAGTGGGACACGCAGGCTGCCCCCCTCGATGATGTCCTGGATGGGTGGGAGAGAAAAGACCTTGGTCAGTCACGGCACCTAGAATGTTCAGGGAGGATCCACGGCTGCTGCGCCTGCAGTGGGATGCTCCTGGGAACGGCGACCCTTTAACAGTTGCAAACCAATGGCGGGGTGAGGTACATGCAAAAGGCCCATCCCTGAGCCCCTAATCCCACTGGTAGCCACTGTTGTATCATTCTGGTAGGCACAGTGGTTCCCACCTATAATCCCAGAACTTTGGGAGGCTGAGGCCCCCCAAGGATCCCTTGAACTCAGGAGGTCAAGATCAGCCTGAGCAAGAGTGAGACCCTGTCTCTACTAAAAATAGAAAAACTAGCCAGGTGTTGTGGTGGGTGCCTGCAGCCCCAGCTACTCAGGAGGCTGAGGGAGGAGGATTGCTTGAGCCCAGGAGTTTGAGGTTGCTGTGAGCAATGCCCGGTGTATCAAATGGCAAATGATCCCATCTTGTTATACAAGTAAAGACATGTATGTTTGTGTTATCTGTACTTCTTTCCAGAAGGATCTCTGAGTACTCTACCCAGAGTGACAGAGTGAGACTCTGTCTCAAAAAAAAAAAAAAAGTATTCTAACTTTGGGTCAAGCAGAATGCTTGGAAAACACAGGTCACCTGAGAAGTACTATCCAGGGAGGACCCCTGTCCAGGGAGGGAGGATCACCGTCCAGGGAGGACCCCTGTCCAGGGAGGGAGGATCACCGTCCAGGGAGGACCCCTGTCCAGGGAGGGAGGATCATCGTCCAGGGAGGACCCCTGTCCAGGAAGGGAGGATCACTGTGGCTACTGAAACACTTTGGCACTCTTTCTTTTCTGGCTTCCTCAGCACACTTTTAGAAAACGTATCTAATGTTTGACATTTGCATACGTTAGAAGGTGTGTAGCAGCTGAGCCACACTGCGGCTTCGTGTCCCGTGCATGATTCCAGATGCAGGAGCCCATTCTCACACCTTCATTTTACATGCCATGAGCAGCCAAGCACAGACTCAGCCAGTTTTGACCACTTGAATCCTGCCGCTGCTGTGTGACCTTGGGTAAACAAACTCAACCTCTCTGTGCCTCAGTTTCCCTGAGGACAACAGTGGCAGCTGCTTATTGGGTGATTGTGATGATCTCAATATTTGCAGAGCCACAGGGCAGTATCTGCACCCTTTGGGTGCTTCTCTGTGAAATTCCCAAGTATGAGCTGAGTGCTCTCAGGTGCCAGGCACTAGGCTGGGCAGGAGATAGCGGGCTGCCCAATGCAGTGAGAACGGCCCACAGGCCTCCCCTGGGGAGTCTACATGGCCATAGGATGGACATTCCATGCCGGGGTGGGGGAGGCTGTGAGGTGTGCCAGGGCAGCTTCAAGGGAAGACTTGGGGAGACGCAGAGAGGATGCCCCGTGCGGAGGGCACTTGCGGGCACAGGAGGTGGGGCTGGGGGAGGAGCAGGGGGCCTGTGCGTGGGCAGGGTGGGCGAGGGTGGAGGATGGGGAACAGCTTCTGGGAGCCATGTGGACCTGACATGGAGGCATGGGTGGGCAGCAGGGCCGGAGTTGGTCTAGATGAGGTGGGAAGCCAGGTTGGTGTGGACCACACGTGTTTTAGAAGGGTCCTTCCAGAGAGGAGCACAGATAACGCACACATACAACATGTCTCCACTTGTGTAACAAGATGGGACCATTGTGCCATTTGATACACCGGGCATTGCTCATCAGACAAAGGGATGAAAACTGATCCTGCAGACACTTATCTCTGGACCAGATGCTCACAGGGGTGCAGATGCTGTGGCTGGGGGCACGGCCGCTTTCCCTGGCATGTGAGTGGGCCGGGCCCTCTGCCCCGAAGCTCTCCCTAGGACCCAGGAAGGACACTGACAATCGGGGCCCTGATTACTAATGAAGTATTTAATCTTCCGAGAGCCCAGAATAGCAAGGACGTAATTTAAAAAGCCTGACACGTGAGTGCCCAATCCGTTCCTGGGGCCCGCTCGTGGAGTGCACGAGCTTGCTGACGTCAGGGCCTGCGGACATATGGAATGCCACTGTTCCTGCTCCCAAACCTTCCCATCGATCAGAAAAAGGAAACCCGAGGACAGCAGCTGTGGACACGCGTGTTTCCATTCTGGGCAGCAAAGGACACCAACAGCCACACCCTGCCTGTTGCTTTTTTTTGGTGGTGGGAGGGTTTGGAAGCAGGGCCTGACCTATGCCTCAGCCTAGTTGGCTGGCTGGGTTTACAAAGCAAGTGAAATTTCAGTTAGCCACCAGAATGTCTCAAACCCAGCCAGGGGCACCATCCAGACTATTTTAGGGAGAGAGTCTGTTTTCCTTCCAGAGAGAAGGGCTTCAGAGGGCCTCTACCTTCATCTCCACAAGGATGTCTGCACAGGGTTGGGTGTGCCCTGCTCTGGCCCCCTCTCCGTGCCCCACGTGGGACCAGCCCTTCCCCATGGCCTAGGAACCGTCATGCTCCTTGACAGGCCAGGCTGCAGGCAGGTGAGCCAGCCAGCCTATGGCAGGAGGGCACCTGTCGCCTTTCTTGATTCAAATAAGTGCCAACTGAGGGACCCTGAGCCCTCCTCTGAGTTCCTGCCAGCGGTCCAACCAGCACCTGGACTGTGGAAGGTCCTGACCCCCTTGCCTCGCCCACCAGCCTGAGACTGAGGAGCAGAGAGAAAAAGAAGAAACAAGGCTGAGGATTCCCAGGAGGGGCCTGGGCAGCCAAGCTGAGTGCCCACATGGCTGCTGTCCCCGAGGTGAGCAAATGCAGGCCTGAGACACTGTCAGCCGCCATCAAACCCTCGCCTGCTCGCGTGTCACATGGCAAAAAGGCTTCTGCAGTTAGTGGAGAGAAAAGGAGGTTTTGGTTATGGAAAGAGCTGAACTCCTTCAGACAGGAAACATATGCGTGCCCTAAATTCAAATCTTATTTTTCTATTGGAGGCAACACCACCAAAAAAAGAAACCAGAGACATAATGAATAATGTTGGACGCATTCTGTGAAATAGAACTTCTCAAGAATCTTATGGAGTTTTGTTTTTTCTTCCCATAAACTTCAAGCTGTTGGCTCAAATGAGTCTTAGCTGATGGCTGTTTAGCCGATCCCCTGCTCCTGCTGCACCTGTGGGTGACACCTTCACCATCAGGTCACGGTCCTGACTCTTAAAAGCATCCCCTGAGCCCAGCACAGAGTGTCCAAACTGAGGAGGAAGCAGGGAAGCGGCCTGAAGGGAGCTCTGTCCAGTGCCCCCCAAAAGCTGTGGGATTAATTCTCCATGTTGACAAACACTGAGAATCTGCCCAAGGGTCTCCTGATCCTTCAAGCCAAAAATACAACCCTACAAATAAACACAAAGAGGCACAACGAAGCTGCCCATTAGCCAGCGTGCTGAGGAGCGTCTCTGAAGGCAGGTGGTGGGAAGCCTGGTCCTCTGTGGGCCACCACTCAGTGGACACATGGGAAAGAATCGCTTTCTCACCACACCAGGCCTGGCTAGTACTTAGCTCCCAGAGGAACGCTGGTACAGTGACATCAATAAGGGGCCAACTATTTGGGAGAGACATCTGGGCAGCCAAGGTATTCCCGGCACCTACAGTGTGTCCTGGGCCCCGTCCATCCCTTTGTGTAGGGAGGGCAGGGGCTTCTCATGTACTAGGCAGGGCCCTGCCTCTACTTAAACCCTCTTCCTCGCCTTTCACCTACCTCAGCGCTGAGCCTGGTGGCAGGTGCTATGATGTACTGGGCATAAAAACAAACCCAAAATAATCCTTGGCCCAGAGCCTCAGGGCCCACATGGCTCGAGGGCTTGAGGCCAGGGAGCTGCAGGAACACAGCAGAGGAACTCTCGACCCACCACTGTGCATGTGTGTTTTGGGGGGGGGTGTTTCAGGAGAAGAGGGACAGCTTGAGGGACCTGTCTGATTACCTTGGGAGGTTCGCTGTGAGGCCAAACACACTGACAGGTGGGAAACATTCTGTAAAGTACAAAACGCACCTTCCTAGCCTATCACTGCTCCAGAGCTGGTTAGTATTTGACACCACCAGACTGAACCTGGCCCATCACTGCTCCAGAGCTGCTTAGGATCTGATACCACCAGACTGAACTGCTGCTTCTTGGCAGCAGCTGATGGAATCAGGGTCTCAGATCTGAGTCTCAAGGACAAACCTGGCCCCTCTGGAGGAAAGGCGGGGCTCACAGAGACGCACTCCTGTCCCTCTGAGCAGAGGCACCTGGACCCAGGTGACACGGTGTGAGGGTGTGTGTGCCTCCCTTCTCTACGTCAGGGTCCCAAGCCCAGAAAATGTTTCAGCCGCACAGTCTGGGAGCGTAAAGGGAAAGTGGTGAACAAAATCACATGGGAACACTTTCCTGGTTAAAGATAAATGTTGAAAAATCTTCCCCAGTGACTATCCTAATCTTCCTTTTCCACAAAATACCCTAAGTCTATAATTCCACACCCCACGCCTTATCACACGTGCACAGCCCTGGTTCACAGGCCTCTGCTTCTTTCTGTCCCCACCTGCTCTCCTGAAGCCCATCGTGCCCCAGGGGACTGCTGGCTCCCTGGGTGGGAGCCAGGCCCTGCCCTCTCTGGCCCGGGTGGGGCTCAGCCTCTGCTATCTCTCAGCCCCTCCTCTTTTCATGGTGCCCCTCAGGTCTGTCCTCAGCTCCTGCACGTGACACGCACTTCCAGGCAGCACCAACTCCCAGTAATGCACAGATGATCCACAGCTGGGTCTTCCAAGCCCGGTGGGGCTCGTGGGCTCTCCTGGCCACTGACTTGCCATTCTCCCTGGGTGTCCCACAGATACCCAGCTGAACCCCATGTTCCACTTCCCTGTACTTTCTGTCCCCAAATGCCATGACACTCTGGCCCAAACCTCCCGATAACGACCAGATTTCCTCTAAACCAGTGGTTCTCAGCCTTCTTAACGCTGCAATGTATTTTCATTGTTACAAAAGGGTTGCAACCCCAGGTTGAGAACCACTGCAATAGTCTCTATCATTTCTCTCCTCCTCACAGCCTCTGTTTGGCTCAGGTCCCTTCTCTCGCTAAGTCTGCCAATGAGGGTCCCAGACAGCAACGTGGCACCTGTGAAGCCTTCTGTCCTCCACTGCAGCCACATCTCAGCCCCGAAAGAGTCCCTGTTGTGATGACAGTGACCACACTGCGCTGTGAGACCACCCAGCACCACGTTCTCCTGTCTCCATGCACGTCCCATGCTCCCCATCAGGACTGGGGCGCTACTCACCGTAGCTTTCAGCAGACAGGGACCAAGTCCCAGGCGGCTGCTCAGTTCAGTGTCAGGTGCTGAACGGAAGAGCTCTGGGCACAGCCGTCTGCAGCTACTACTGATTGTGAACTAGCTGCGGGCGGGGCCATCTCCTTAGAAATCTCTAGGCTCTATGTGAGGTAAGAATGCCGAAGGCAGACCCGGGCAGGACCGCAGGCCTACGGCATTCCCAACAGGGTACAACAAACCCTCCCTGGAGAAGAGCTAGGGGTTCCAGAGGAGACAGCTGGGGCGGGGGGAGATCCCAGTGATCTCCAATCCCCAGGCCCTCAGCTTCCACAGGAGCTGAACATTCAGGAGGTCCGGAGCAAGCGCAACAGACACACACTCTCCCCCTTCAAAGTCAAACTGAATCAACTCCCTCTCGCTCTCCGATTGGACATTAGCTGCATCATACTTTGTACTACATTTACCTTCTTTTAAAATATTTTTTAAATGATTTCTGTTTGTTTGTTTTGTCTGCTTGTTTTGCTATTTTGGAGACAAGGTCTGACTCTGTTACCCAGGCTAGATTGCATTGTTATCATCATAGCTCACAGCAACCTCAACCTCTTGGGCTCAAGCCATCCCTCTGTCTCAGCCTCCCCAGTAGCTGGGACTACAGGCACCTGCCCCAATGCCTGGCTAGTGTTTCTATTTTTAGTAGAGATGGAGTCCTGCTTTTACTCAGGCTGGTCTCAAACTCCTGAGCTCAAGGGATCCTCCTGCCTCAGCCTCCCAGAGTGCTGGGATTACAGGCCTGAGCCACTGCACCTGGTCTACCTTTGGCTTCTTTTTACCTTAACCATTTTAGTGAACCAGGGAGAAAGTATTTCTTGTGGAGTTGACATTATTCTAGACATGAAATCTGGGACTCAGAAAACATCTCCAACTTATCAAAGGCTAAAAGGGAAGTCAACAGCATGCCAGGGCCACCCTTGCCACCTGGCTGCCCAGCACTTCCCAGGCTAACTTCAGCCCAGGGCGGCAGGGAATGGAGCTAGCAGTAACGCCGCTCTTGGCCCCTAAGCGGGTGCATTTCCTCGGGGATGGAGGATATGACTGAATGCCTGAAGGATGCTCCAGAAATAAGGGGGGAAATCACTCATTCATTAATGCTTACCAATTGAATCCTCATGAAAAATGTTTACTTTCTAACAGACATGGAGTAAATTGGCCCTTTGAATATTCCCCCCATTGGTTGGTTTTTTAATATAAAAATGGCAATAATTGATCAGTGGACAAGTTGCTTGCTAACACAGTTAGCATAAAGTTAAAAATGACAACAATGATTTCTCGTTCGGGGGAGCAGCTCAGTCGCAATTTGGAATGCTCTGTAATTAGGAAGAGGCCTTTAATCCTGGCGGGTATGTGACTGGCCTCTCCTTGTCTATCTGGCCAGGGGTTTTAAAAGAAACTTTCCCTATAAAGTTATATATGCATATTTCACAAATGTACATAACATATAATATGTGATATGACTTAAGTACAATTTATGTAATATATATAAAATTATACTCATCCACATCTTTGTAAGTTTTTAAAACATTCCCACTCCATTAAAATGCTTACGTGCTCACAAAACTCACCTTAGTCCCACCTCCCTGGATACTCTTCCCCTTCCAAAGCTCCCCAGGGTTACTAGGTCACCACTCAAGCTCAGCAGGCTGCAGACACCCACAGACTTATTCCCAATGCCCAATCCACTGAGTCCAGGGCAGAGGGAACACGGGTTCACCTGGGTCTGACACAGGCCTGCACTCCTTCAAACCTCACATGAAACTGTATGGTGACAAGTCCTAAAAATGACACTGTTACCAAGGAGGTGTCCAGACACAGAGATAAGAAGAGGTCTCCGTGTGAGCAGCAAAGGCACGGCAGGCAGCTGATCACTGCTCCTAACCTTGGAGTAAACTCTTTTCGTCATTTGGCATTTTTGAGATGGCTGCTGCCAGAGTCATGGGAACCCATTCTGCTAAGTTAAAGTCTGAAATTACTCTCCTGAGACCCAACTATGGCCATCTGTCAGAGGCTTCGGACCCCCTCTACTGAGCCCTGAAGCATCCCTGTGGGAGTTCACCACTCTGGGGAGGCTCTTCCCCAAACCAGACCTGGTGAGCAGCCCCCAAGCTCTACTCCTCCCACACTGTCGAGGCTCCCGCCTTTGAGGGTGGGTGAACACTGATCTCTACAGATGCACTGAGGCAGGGGCAGGTGCGGGTCAAGGGCACCCCTCACAGCACCCCTGAGTCAGGATGGGCTGGATGTGGGACAAGGTCAAAGGGCACCCCTCACAGCATCCCCGAGTCAGGATGGGCTGGACGTGGGACAAGGTCAAAGGGCACCCCTCACAGCACCCCTGAGTCAGGATGGGCTGGATGTGGGACAAGGTCAA